TACATGAGGAGACTCGGGTGCCCTTGCCTGAAGACATTAAAAAACATCTGGACACCAGAACACATGGTGTGTTTAGGGACATATTTAATTAACTGGTCAGAAATACAGAAGTGGGAGCCTGAAGAGATGACTCGGTGTTTAGGGGCACTGGCTGCTCTTCCAGAGGATCCAGGTTTGAATCCCAGCACCCACATGGTGGCTAACAACCATCTGAAATTCCAATTCCAGGGGATCTGACGCCCTCTTCTGACCCCTGCGGGTATTGCACAACACAGGTGCACTTAAATACATGCAAGCAAAACACTGATACACATAAAATAACAAATCAGAGGCTGGAGAAATGGCTCGGCAGTTCAGAGCACTGGCTGCTCTTACAGAGGAACCAGGTTCAGTTTCCAGTACCCACAGGATGGCGAAAAACTATCCGTAACTTTGGTTCCAGGGTATCTGACGCCCTCTTCTGTCCTCCTGAGCATTGCACAACATGGGTGCGCTTGTATACATGCAGACAGTACACTCATGCACATAAAATAAAAATAAACAAATCCAAAAAAATTTAAAATGATAAATCAAAAAATAATATAGAAATGACAAGCTAAAATATTCATCTTCTTTCCTAAACATTTGCTGCATTCTAGCCGATCAGTGTCAATAACATGACTAAAGAGAATTCAAAAGAGTAGCAGTAAAGAGAGAAAAATCAATACTCTAGAAATAAAGAAAAAATTAAAACTTCTACCTAAGCCCTTGAAAATCAAAAGTCCCTAAATGGAGAGGCTAGAATTTATAGTATATAAAGGTGATGAGGGTTGGGGATGTGGCTCAGCTAGTAGTGTGCTTGCCTAGCATGCATGAAGCCCTGGATTCAATCTGCTGCATGACGTAACCTGGGCATGGTGGCACATGCCTGTGGTCCCAAGCATTCAGGAGGATCAGAAGTTCAAGGTCATCCTTGGCTACAAAGAAAGCTCAAGGTAAGCCTAGGCTACCCTGAGACACTGATTCAAAAACAAATTGTGATGATGCTGATGTTGCCTTGTAACCAATCTGCCTAGAGTCAAATACCAAGTTAACTCTTTTGCTAAACAACCCATCTCAGGGCTTTATGCGCTGAAAGATACAATGGATCCAGGTTGGAGGTGTTTCCCATGACAACTGACTAGCATGTAAGGTTTGAATGGCTTCATTTCATATGTGATTACATTAAGCTTGGGATGTTCAGATGTTTCTGTGGATAATTCCTGGAGGCACTTTTATAGTTCCCCAAGATGGGGAACAGAGCAGGATAGTTATATATACTTTACACAAAGGCCTTTGTGTCCACACATATTTTGGCCTCACCTTATAGCTATGTCAATAACTTCATCTCCCTAGAGTTTCTTCTCATAAGCAGTGGTTAAGAAGCTTTCAGGGCCTGGTTTTAGGCAGGATTTTATTATCCAGTAAGGATAGAACATAGAAGGCTTGTAAAAACATTGAGGCTTAATAAAAATATATAACATTATAGATATTTAAAGATGGTGAGGTATATAATATCATATCTCCACAAAAAATAAGACTGAGCTGGAGAGCTGGCTCAGCAGTTAAGATTGCTTGCTATTCTTGCAGAAGCCCAGAAGTCAGTTCTTAGCACCCACATTGGGATGCTCACAACCATCTGTATCTGATGTCCCTTTCTGGCCTCTGAGGGTACCTACACACATATGCACACACAGAAATATCAATCTGAATACAAAAATAAATAAAATGAGAATGGAGGGAAAGTGAGAGAGACACTGTGCTTGCATGCTTGGGAGAGAGTAACCCCAAAGGAAGTCTCTAGTGGGGGGTTAGGGGTGTGTGTGTGTGTGTGTGTGTGTGTGTGTGTGTGTAAGATGAAAGAGGTTTTGAGCACATTTGTTTAAGAGGAATACTAAGCCCGACACACGCTTGAATCCTGTCGCTATGAATTACTAGCTCTGATTTTAGTCATATACTTAATTCTTTTCTTTCTCAGTTTCCTCATCTGATAACTGAAGTTTATAATGACACTTGCAGGAAAATAGATGGAACTAGATGGAAAATCATATGTTAAGTGAAATAGACCAGACTCAGCAAGCACTTTTTCTTCATATATACAGTTACATATATACATGTATTACAAGAAAAGATAAAGAATGAAGTTTATGATTATAGTTTAGGATCATATGATACAGTTGTGAGGCCGAAAGAAGTTAATATACTTAAAACCACTTCGGATACATCATAAGTACTAAATAGGTATTTGCTAGTATTGTTGTTGTTTTATTTTTGAAGAAAAGGTCCATTAGAGGTTGTGAAGGTAAAGGCTCAGGAGAGAGGGGTGATTTGACTGCGGTATGGGAAAGAAAGCAGAGAGCAGAAGCACACAGTGGGCATGGCTCGGGCAGGAGTTCAAGGAAATAGGCTAAAGAAGGTTACAGATGCATTGGCTTTGAAGGGTGGACACTGAGCAAGAACCTATGAATACTCACTGTTTTATTTGGCTAGCTGAAGTTGGTGGGGAGAGGCTGCCGGTGCCAGCCGGCCTTAGATGAACAGCACCTGAAAGGGGGAGTGAGGATTGAAAGAAAAACAAGAGACAGAGAAAAGATACTTGGGAGGACTGTCAGTAGAGACTGCAGCCCCGGTTTATTTTAGCTCAGCCTTCGTATACAGTAGAACATCAGATGCTTAGCTGAATTAGCATCAACAGCTCTTTTTCCCACCTTTTCCTGAGGGTCAAGGAATGGTAAAATACTTGTTGTGAATTCCACCATTTAACCATCTTCCCTAAAATATCAACATAGAACATCAGAGACAGCCACCATTTGCTTAACTCAATTAGCTTCAACAGCTCTTTTTCCCACCTGTATCTGAGGGTCAAGGAGCGGTCAAATACTTGTGAACTCCACCATATAAACACATGCCTACTGACTCAGCAGATTAGGTACTGGTGTGCAAAACACAAACTCTAAAAAAGCAAGCCTGCCACAGCTCAATGGACATAATGGCTGTGCTTATATTAATAGCTCCCAACAAGAGGGGATGTTCCTACTTCTCTCTGTTTGAGGTACAACATTAATCTCCAAGTGGGTGTCCATGAATATTTTTCTTCCTAGTCCTAATTTCCAACAGTTGTTTCACAGAACATGAAATAATCAATAAATTCATCTCACTTGATTGATAAAAGATGGACCTAAACCAGAAAATTCTCATTAAAAAAATTGGGGGCAGACAAGTCCTTCTTGGTATCCTTGTTGATCCTGCTATGGAGCCCCAAACCGTATCCTGACATGGGACTAGAGGATGAACAAAACATGCTTACCGGATCTGGAGACCCTAAAGGGGAAGAAAAGGAAATGCAAGAATTAGTGAATCCCTTGACATCAGTGAGAGAGCTATGTGAGCAGTTGGTGAAATGTATAAAGGCCTGGGAATGGCTAGAGCTCTGTGATCAGAGTGTATCTTCCTGATCACAGACAGAAGAGAATTGCACAGAAGAGCTCTTTGACTTCCTGAATGCCAGAGACCACTGTGTGGCCCACAAGCTCTTTAACAGATGTGAAGACTCATTCTCCTCCTGCCTTCAATACCCGAGCAACAGGATAGTTCCTTGTGGTCTTGAACATGTCATTTGTTTCTGATGTATATAAGTTCTTGGGAACTTATTGGATTTTGGCAAGTAACTTCTACGCTATTAGCAGAGATTCCATCTTAATAAAGTCCTATGGTTTGCAAAAAAATTAAAAAAAAATTGGTGGCTGTGTGTGGCAGGACATCTCAGGAGGCAGAAGGATCTTTGTGAGTTGAAGGCTAGCCTCGTCTTAGTGAGTTCCAGGCTAGCCAGGGATACAAAGTGAGACCTGGTCTCAAAAAAGAAACAAAAAATTTAATTTGTGATTATACACAAAGATACATCTATTTTTATTTCTCTCACAGATTGGTAGTCAATCCATTAAAAAAAAAGCCTCAAAATGTTCTGGGAAACCTTTTTTGAAGTTTAGTAAAATAGGTAGTAATGTCAAGGAAATTGCTTTCACCAGAAGAGTACACTTTGTGTGTGTGTGTGTGTGTGTGTGTGTGTGTCTGTGTGCGTGCACGCGCGTGTGTGTAAAGCATGAATGAACATATGTGCCATATCGGTATGTGATAAAAATCTTAGTAAAGAAGCTGTGCTATCTAGTCTAGCACAATGTGCTCCTGTTGGGGGAGCACTCCAATTTTGCAAGCCTCTGTGTGTGTGCGGGAGTGTGTGTGTATTCTTTGTTTAGGGCATCTTCAATACCATACATATTAAGGGAATGCCTTCCTGTTTGAAAAGGGCAATCTGTGACTGACTTATGTCTTTGTAGTGAAAATGGAGATCATGTTGTGTAGTAGGCATTCAAGTGTAAATCTGGCACATAATAGATGTTCTGTTAATATTTGTTGAGCAGCATGTGGTAATTATGTGTTAGCACAACTGGGCCAGTGAGATGGTTCAGTGGTTGTAAAAGTACTTGTTGCCTGAGCCTGAAGTCTACATGCCACATCACACACACACACACACACACACACACACACACACACACACCACCACCACCACCACCACCACCACCATATACACATAGTATATAGTTTATTATTATAAATAATAAATACAACTTTTTAAAGTTACCCATACCTAAATATTGTTTCCTTCTCAATCTAAAACGACGGCTACTCGAACCTAACTACACATTTCTACAATGTTCTAAGGCCACATGGATCTGTAGTAAAACATACTAATGAATACACACTCGGGAAGATCAGCCTTCAAAACAGGCGTACATGTTATTTTTCGTCAGGATTTGTTTCTCCAACGGGCTGACAGTTGCTGTAACATGCGATGATTTGTCTTTTCCGGTCATCATTGTCATCATTAGCCTAGAAAGCAGCTCCGTTTGCTGACAGTTGAATGCAAGCGCCAAAGAGGAAACGCGAAGGCGGGAGTTATGTCCCTCGCGCCGCTCCGTAGTCGGGTGCGCGAGGCCCTTTGAAAGCGCGCGGCGTTTGAAGGTAACGGCGGTTACCGAGCCATAGTGCTACTGCCGGGTGCGGCTGGGTGCTGCTGCGGAGTCGCTGCCGGACTGCTTCCGGGGACCGGGTTAAGACAGCTTTGGTCAGCCTCGTCGCTTCGGCCCTTTTACCCGAGGGTGCGACTGTGGTAAGGGAGCGCGTGGCAGACCCGGGGGACAGCGGGGGGTTGCGGGGGAGGTGAGGACCAATGACCCAGGCGAGATTAGAGGCTCTGGGAGGACGGAGGGGGAGGACGGTGGACTCAAGGGAAGGCAGAGGCCCTGGGATGACAGCGGATTCTGGGAAGGACAGAGGCCCCGGGATGACAGCGGACCTGGGATGACAGCGGACGTAGGGGAGGACCGAGGACCTAGGGGAGGACAGAGGCCCTGGGATGACAGCGGACCTAGGGGAGGACAGGGGCCCTGGGATGACAGCGGACCTAGGGGAGGACGACGGGGGTGAGGCAGGGGGTCGGGGTTACGGGGACGGACAAGACACAACAGTGGCCTGACTGCTATGGTGACCCAAGGGAGGAAGACAGAGGGAAGGGGACAGAAAGCGGACCAGAGGGAGGACAGTGGCTGGAGGGGACAGCAGGGAAATGCAGGGTTGCTGTCTGGGAACCACTGAACACCTCAGAGCCCCTGACCCTGAGCACCTCCATCCGGAGGGTGAGGATTCCAGAACAAAATCCCCCCCCCCCCATCCAAGGAGACAGGGAAGCACGTCAGGGGATGCTGCTTCTGGTTTAGAGGAAGGGCAGAGATGTGGGCTGCGAAGTGATCAGGGGATAGATACAGTGCTTACCCTGCATGCTGGGGCCCTGGGTTCGTAGCACTGAGTACCTGTGATGTATCTCATCAGAAGGCAGGCAGGGAGGGGAAGAAATGTGGCCTGGGCAGAGTTTCTTTCATACAGGGGAATATTGGAGGTATTTTTGAATGGCCAAATACATTTGTATACCTGTACGATATGTCATAATGAAACCCATTGCCATGTACAGTTCACAGATGTTGTGCTGGATAGCTTTAGTGTCAACTTGACACACCTGGGTTGAGGGAGCCTCAATTGGGGAATTGCCTCTATTGGACTGGCCTGTGGCCATGTCTGAGGGGCATCATCTTGATGAGTGATGTGGGAGGGCCCAGCCCACTGTGGGTAGTGCACCCCTGGGCAGGTGGGCCTGTGTTGCATAAGAAAGCAGGCTGAGCAGGGGCCAAGAGAGCAAGCCAGTAAGCAGCATTCCTCCATGGCCTATGCTCCAGCTCCTGCCTCCAGGTTCCTGCCCTGAGTTCCTACCTTGGGCTCCCTGATGAACTGTGACCTGGGAGATGTAAGACAAATAAACCCTTTCCTCCCCAAGTTGGTATTGGTCAGACTATTTTGTCACAGCAATGAAGAACAAATTAGGACAGATGTTAATGAAATGAGACATTGAAAAATCCAGCATTATTGACAGTTTTATCAGGATGGCTAGAGAGATGACTGTGTGGTTAAGAGCTAGCACTGCTCTTGCAGAGGGTGGGGTTGGTTTCAGAACCCATGTCAGGTGGCTCCCAACTGCTTGTAACTCCAGCACCAGAAGGATCTGTGCCCCGCCCCCCCCGACTTCCTCCCCATCTGTACTCATGTGCACATGCCCCTACAGACACACAGACACACACAGACACACACACACACACACACACACACACACACACAATTACAATAAAATAAAATCTATAAATTATCAGGATAACCAGGATGGTTCACTAATGTGATTTCAGTACTTGGGAAACTAAGGCAGGGGGATGTGATGTTGGAGATCATGTGGCCTGGGCTACATGGCCACTTGAAGGCCATTCTAAGCTCTGGCGAGACCTTGACTCAGCAAAACATTAACAAGTTAAGCAAGCTAATCAACAGATCCACTGGCTCTATCAAATGTCAGGGCCTTTTGAACCCTAAGCCAAAAGGTAACATTTCCAGTTTGTCTTCATTAAAATAGTCACAATTTTATGCTATTATCTAATAACCATGCAATTTAGAATTGGTATAGTTATTTAACAATGTCTATAGAATATATAGTCATTGAGACAATATTCAGGCCTATGGCCAGAAAGTTGTCAGTAGACTAAGGCCTAAACTTAGCCAGGAAAGAAAAAAGATTATCATTAAACAACTGAACGGAGTGACATGTTTTGGTACACAGCTGAGGTTAGACTTAGGGGATGCTGAAGCCTTCCTGTTTAAGTCTAGGTTTGTTTTTGGTTTTTTGCTGTTGTTCTCTCTCTCTCTCTCTCTCTCTCTCTCTCTCTCTCTCTCTCTCTCTTTCTCTCTCTCTCTCTCTCTCTCTCTCTCTGTCTTTTTGAGATAGTCTCTCTGCAGTCCCCAGCTAGCCTGGAACTTGCTATGTAGGCTAGGCTGGCCTCCATCTCCTAGAGATCTGCCTGCCTCTGCCTCCCAAGTGCTGGATTAAAGGTGTGTACTACCATACCCAGCTGTTTTTGTTTCTTTTTGTTGTTTTGAGACATCGTCTCACTATGTGGCTCTGGCTGGCCTGGGGCTTACTCTGTAGTCCAGGTTGGCTTAGAACTCAGAGGCCTGCCTGCCTCTGCCTCCTAGGATTAGATGCATGCATATAAGAGTTTCTTAAGGGTCATGAGACCTGTTACAACTTTTTCTGGGAAATGTGAGAGGGAATCATACTACTTACTTTTTTTTTTTTTTAAGAAAAATAATTATTTCCTCATGTGTGTTGGGGACTGAACCCCGGGCTGTGCATGCTAGGCTAACATTCTATCGCTAAACTACATCCCCAGCCCCTGCATACCTTTTTGAACTATGTAGATTTTTTAAAAACCAAGTATGTATTTTTAAACTTAAAAAAAAGTATTTTATTTAGTGGGGGGGGTCATGCAAGATGTGGTCAGAAGATAATTGTGAGAATAGGTTCTCTCTTTCCATGTGAACTCAGGTTGTTAAGCTTGATGACAAGTGCTTTTATTGCTGGCCCTGAAGTATATATTTTGTAGTTAAAATAAAACCCCCTAACCGCTCACAGTAAGAAATTATACTGCTAGATTTCACTTTTACCTTCATAAATAGAAATAGACTATTTGTTGAGGTCATTTTCAGGTCTTAAAATTTACATTTACTTGATGAAATGATAATGTAATGTTACAGGAATTTTTCCTCATGAGTAAGAATCACATTCTTTAAAACTGTCATGTAATTTAGCTTATTTTCATCCTAGGACTTTGAGAGATTGTTATAATGGAAGGAATCAATAATGTCAAGACGCCAAACAAATTATCTGAAAAGAGGAGATCTGGTAAGTTGGGGAAGTGAGACCTTCATTGTTGTCCTTGCTAAAAATGTTTTTGTATTTGTTCCTTTATTTTCTTTAGTGAACAGTTGTAGCATGAGTCATCTTTATAATAATACTAATCTAACATACCTTACCTAATAGAGCAGGGTCTGGCTATCTGTGGACTGATTTACTGTCATTCTAGATTTGGGTTCTGCCTAGTAGAAAGTCCTTTTGGTTTGAACCATTAAGACCTGTAAGGAATTGCTTTACCTTTTCCTCTCCTTCATGAGGTATTTCCTTAGGCTTTGCTCTTTTGAGGGGAAGTGTTTCCTTAGGCAGATCAATGAGCAAAGGAAATGCTTTGTAACAGTTGGAAATCCATATGCAGAAAACAACTTTTGGGCCTTAGCTCAGGTCACAGTAATGAGCGAATCTTCTACTTTTCATTTCTGGCATGTTACATTTACATACTGATCTTGTATCCACAGCTGAGCTAACTCACTCTACTGCCTTGTATTTCATTTATTTTGTGTGTATGTGTGTGTGTGTATGTATGTATGTATGTGCACACATGCATGTGGGCATGAGTCTGGAGGCCAGAGGACATTTTTTACGAGTTAGTTCTCCCTTTCCATGTAGGATCCAGGGATGGAACTCAGTCTGTAAGGGGGTGATGCAGAGGGTATCAAAGATTAAAGAGAAAGAATTCAATAATACTTAAGTTTAATTGCTTATAACTTCTTGACCCTAGAGTAAGGGCCACCTAGTTCTGGGAAAAACAGCCACCCAAAGCTAAATTGAGAAACAAGGGCACCCAGAGATAGATTACAGGATGTGGGCTGCAGCCCCAGGACGTGACCCGTGATAAGTCACGTAGGCATGCTTGTGTAAGTAAGAGATAACAAGAAGCGGTCAGGAAACTGGCACGTACCACCCAGATGGTGACACACATGAAGGGTTGATTTGTTTTAAATCTATTGGTTAAAGTATGCTAGGTGCTTTAAAACTATTGGTTGTGGAAATGCGCAGGCTTTGGTGCAACGGCTGTGGAAACCCCATATAATCCTTGCCTGAAGTTGCTTTGGGGTCGATTGCTCCAACCAGACCTGTGTGTCTTGGGAGGACGGTCGACCTCAGCTAGCTGGCTTAATAAAGACTTTGCTTGAATTACATCTCCGTGCTCGTGCATTTTGGTTCTCTCAGGAAACCCACGGAGTCACTCGGACCCTAACACTTGGGGGCTCGTCCGGGATCCGGGTGCTCCTGGGGAAACAAAGGACGAACGGAGGCAGAGTCTCTTTGTCCAGACGGGGCAGTGTAATTCGGGGGTTGCTCCCTTGTGTCTGCATAAATCCAGTATAAAGCGAGAGTCGCCATCTCGTGTCTGGTCTCAGGTTAGTGATCCCCAAGCGAGGAAGTCCGGGTTGGTAGTCCCGGCCCCCAGGTTAGTGACCCTGGGTGAAGCCCAGGTAACCAACCCTGGCCCTAGGGTCCGAGTGACTCGGTCTTAGGAAGGCAAGCCCGATCGGCGGAAACCTGGCACCCGAAGAAGAGAAGATCGAGCTCATCACCCTACGGCAGTCCGAGTGGACGCCTTTTGGGAGAGTCACGAGAAGTCTCGAGGATCCTAAAAGTGAAAGTGGTGAGTGTGGTGCGCACCAGAGTGAGAGAAGGACCGGTCCGAGTGAGTGCAATCAGATGTGGTGTGTGTGTTTAGTGTCGTTGTTGATTGTTATATTGTGTTGTGGTTCGTATTTATATTTCTTTCTGCGCTAAGATTCTCCTACTCTCTTGATCCCTCCCTTCTGCCACTGAAACTCCCCGCGGGCACGGGTTGGGCAGTTAAGAGCCATTAGGGTGCCTGCCGCCAAAAGACTCCCATGACAGGATAAGGGGGTCACAGCCGCGAATCCCAGATAAATTCGTGTCCCCCGCGGAAGAAAAAACTGTGCAACAACAGGCACCCGTTCACAAGCACACACACGGGTCATCTCATTTGGAGTGGCATCTTTACCTTCTTCCCTTTTTCCTTTCTTATAATCTCCACTATGGGCCAGACTCAGGCTACTCCCAAAGGTTTGATTTTTTCTCATTTTCTGGAAGTGAAGAAACTGGTCTTGAATATGGGCCTTGACATCAAGAAAGGTAAGTTTGACATCCTCTGCTCAGCTGGATAGCCCTCCTTTGGAGTAGGCTGGCCAGTCCAGGGGTCTCTTTCCCTGGACCTTATCAGCAAGGTCAAGGCTATTATCACCTGGCCAGACCCTGAGGGCCACCCTGACAACTTCCCTATATTCTTGTCTGGGAAAATCTGGCCAAGAATCCTCCCTCCTGGCTGAGCCCCTTTTTGGTGGGGAAACCTAACACCAACCCCCCAAAGACCTCTGTCCTGGTTTCCCAGGAAGGTTTAAAGCCCTCCGGTCGCAAGGGTGGAATTCTTAGTGCACCGCCGGTCCTCCCTGATAGTTCCTCCCTATACCCCCCCTTGCCTGCCGAGCAACCACCCCCATATGCGGCTCCACGAGAGAGAGGAGGTGAGGCAGCTGAGAGAAAGGAGGATGAGGCTGTGGAGCCCCACAGGGACCAGGCGACTGCCCCTTCCCCAGACTCCTCAACGGGGGAGGGCAGGTGACCGGGAGGGACAGGAGGGATGCAATTAAGGCCTTGAGGGACCAGGGAACGAGAGGGAGAGGCTCCATCTTCCACCTCGGAAGGAGCAGTGCCTATCTTGCTGGTACAGGTGATCAGCGCGGGCGGTCCAGATGGAGCTCAACAATATCAGTATTGGCCCTTTTCCTCCAGTGATCTCTATAATTGGAGGACTCAAAACCCTCCCTTTTCGGAGGACCCTAAGTGTCTTATAGGTTTGGTAGAGTCCATTATGTTCACCCATTGTCCCACCTGAGACGATTGCCAGCAGTTGCTCCGTACCCTCTTCACAATGGAAGAGCGAGAGCGCATCCTCAGTGAGGCCAGGAAGAATGTCCTCGGAGAGAATGGAAGGCCCACTACCCTCCAGCCCGCCATCGAAGAGGCGTTCCCGCTCACATGCCCGAATTGGGATTTCGGGACTACAGAAGGTAGGGAGCATCTCTGGGTCTACCGCCAGACTCTAATGACCGGTCTCCAGGCAGCTGCCAGACGGCCCACTAACCTGGCTAAGGTAAAAACTATTGTTCAGGGGGAAACTGAAAGCCCAGCCGCATATCTGGAGAGGCTGTTTGATGCTTACAGGCAGTACACCCCTATAAACCCAGAGGCAGAGGAACATAGATCAGCTGTGGTCCTCTCATTTATCAACCAGGCAGCCCCCGATATCCAGAGAAAACTCCATAAATGGGACGATCTGGGAGAAATCTCTATCAGGGAAATGTTGCAGCAAGCAGAGAAGGCCTTCAATGCTAGGGAAACTCCGGAAGAATGGGAGATGCAGGACAAAAATAGGAAATAGGACAGAAAATTCCAGAGAAGGGAGAACAAGAAACAAGGAGGAGATGGCCAATATATTCTTGGCTGGGGTAAAAGAGAACCCTGAGTCACCCCGAAGAACGGGACCCCGCCAACCTCGACTGGGACGAGATCAATGCGCCCTGTGTAAAGGATATGGACATTGGAAGAAAGAACGTCCACAGAGAAGAAAACAAGGAAGAGGAGGGAACCCTGTTAAGACCCTGCACCTAAGAGAGGAGAATTGACGGGGACGGGGCTCGGCACCCCTCCCCGAGTCTTGGGTAACTCTGTGCATGGAGGGGACTCCCATTGGGTTCATGGTAGATACTGGGGCACAATATTCAGTTCTCAACCAAGCTCACGGCCCCCTGAACCCAGGACGCACAAGCATAGTCCAGGGAGCGACAGGGTCCAAGAGATGTACCTGGACCACCAACAGAAAAGTGGACCTGGGGAGGCATCAGGTCTCCCACTCCTTCCTGGTCGTGCCCGAGAGCCCTGCACCATTGCTGGGCAGGGACCTACTCACCAAGGTCTGGGCATGTATCCATTTTAAACCCGAGGGGATAAAGATCATGGACTCAGAAGGGCAGCCTCTACAGCCGGTGCATGTGCTGTCTCTATCCCTGGCCGATGAACACCGTCTGTTTCAGGCGGATCAAGAAAAGGGGGGCCAGGGAGAAATGGACTCCTGGTTGCAGAGGTTCCCTTCCGCATGGGCCGAAACCGGGGAAATTGGCCTTGCCAAGCATCTGCCCCCAGTTGTTGTCCAACTCAAAGCCACGGCCCTACCCATCCGGGTTCGGCAATATCCGATGCCGGAAGAGGCTAGGAAAGGGGTAGCACCTCATATCCACAGACTGATAGAGGCAGGAATCCTTAAACTCTGCCGATCAGCATGGAATATGCCCCTGCTTCCAGTAAAAAAAGGCTGGCAGTGGAGATTACCAGCCGGTGCAGGACTTGAGGAAGGTCAATGAGAGGGTAGAGGACATTCACCCTATGGTGCCCAATCCTTACACTCTCCTCAGTCACCTGCCACTGTCCCATGTGTGGTATACTACCCTGGATCTGAAAGATGCTTTCTTTAGTGTGCCCCTCTCTGAAGTCAGTCAGCCCTTGTTTGCCTTTGAGTGGCAAGAGCCAGGAGGAGGAAGAACAGGGCAGCTTACCTGGACTAGATTGCCACAGGGCTTCAAAAACTCTCCCACCTTGTTTAATGAAGCCCTAAGCTGGGACCTGGAGCCCTTTCGCGGGAGCCATCCCCGCGTGACACTGCTGCAGTATGTGGATGACCTGTTGCTTGCCACAGAAACCCGTGAGCAGTGCGAAGAAGCCATGGGGAGCCTGCTGGCCAACCTAGGTGGACTGGGATATTGAGCCAGCTCTAAGAAAGCCCACATCTGTCAGAGGTCAGTAGTCTACCTGGGGTACAGGATATCGGATGGAGCCTGGTAGCTAACACAAGCCATGAAGCAAACTATCCTGACTATTCCCACACCCTCCTCACCCTGGGGAGTGAGGGAATTTCTTGGCTCAGCCGGGTTCTGCAGGCTCTGGATCCTAGGGTACGCAGAAATAGCCTGTCTGCTATACAAGGCTACTAAGGAAGGGCTGGGCTGGAAATGGAGTCAGGAACAACAAGAGGCTTTTGACAGACTAAAAGAAGCCCTCCTCCAGGCCCCTGCCCTATCTCTGCCAGACCCAGAAAAACCCTTCATCCTGTTTGTAGATGATAAGAAAGGAGTGGCTAAAGGAGTCCTGGCTCAGCAGCTGGGCCCATGGAAGAGACCTGTGGCCTACTTGTCTAAACGGCTGGACCCAGTAGCCTCTGCGTGACCACCTTGTCTGCGCATCCTGGCAGCCATCTCTCTACTAGTAAAAGAAGCAGACAAGCTGACTTTTGGCCAGAACCTGAGGGTGACAGCCCCACATACCGTACAGGGGATTCTCAGGCACCCTCCAGGAAAGTGGATGACGAATGCTAGACTCACCCACTACCAAGGGCTCCTGCTAGACTCCACGAATTGCCTTCTCTGACCCAGTGACCCTGAACCCTGCCACCCTCCTGCCGGACCCAGACCTGTCGGCCCCCCTCCATAACTGTAGAGACATTCTCTCCGAGATCATCCAGGTGCGAGCAGACCTAAAAGACACGCCATTGCCAAACTGTGAACTAAATTGGTACACAGATGGGAGCAGCTTTGTGCAGGAGGGGATCAGGAGAGCTGGGGTGGCAGTGGTGACCCACACAGGGGAAGTTATCTGGAGTGCAGCTCTGCCCCCTGGAACCTCAGCCCAGAAGGCGGAACTTATTGCTCTCACTGAGGCTTTAGAGAGAGCAGAGGGCAAACGGGCCAACGTCTACACAGATAGCAGGTATGCCTTTGGCACTGTCCATGTTCATGGCGCTATCTACCGAGAAAGAGGATTCCGTTCTGCAGAAGGAAAGGAGCTAAAAAATTTACAAGAAGTCCAAAGGTTGCTAGCCGCTGTTGAAAAACCAAAAGCAGTGGCAGTTATACATGTGCGGGGCCACCAATCAAAGAAGAGTCCTGAAGCCATTGGCAATGACCTTGCTGATGTGGAAGCTAGGAGGGCGGCCCGCTCAGACTCCATTATACTTGCAGCTCTCAAGGTACCCATACCTGAACTGCCCGCCCTGCCTCCCAGACCTGACTATTCCCCTCAGGACCTTGAGTGGATTAGAAAGCGAGTCCTGGGGAAGAAGCTTGGGGAGGGAGGTTGGAGTAGGGACCAGGAAGGTAGATTGATCCTGCCAGAAGCACTAGGGCAGTACATGCTTGCCAATCTGCACAAGTCCACCAATCTAAGCTGGAAAAAGTTGCTCAGCCTTTTTCAGTCTGTGCAGTTGGTGTTTTCTCACCAGAGCGAGGCAGCTCGTCAGATCATGAGGGAATGCGATAGCTGTGCCATGCTAAGACCAGCCCCAAAGGGGGTGCACCCAGCAGGTACTCGGGAAAGGGAGAGGGCTCCAGGGAGAAATTGGGAAATAGACTTCACTGAAGTAAAACCAGGAAAGTATGGGTATAAGTATTTGCTGGTTATGGTGGACACCTTTTCAGGGTGGGTAGAGGCTTTTCCAACCAAACATGAGACCAGCCAGGTAGTAGCAAAAAGAATAATAGAGGAGATAGTCCCCAGATATGGGATCCCTGAGGTCATAGGTTCCGATAATGGCCTGGCTTTCGTTAGTAGAGTCCTGCAAGGACTGGCCCAAGCTTTGGGGACAGACTGGAAATTACATTGTGCTTACAACCCACAAAGCTCTGGGCAGGTAGAGAGAATGAATTGGACCTTGAAGGAGACCCTCTCTAAATTGGTAATGGAGACTGGCGGCGACTGGGTGACCCTCCTTCCCTTATCTGTCTTCCGTGCTTGGAACTCCCCCTATGTGCATGGATTAACTCCATTTGAGATAATGTATGGAGCCCCTCCACCCATAACCCGGCGAGTACAGCTCCCTAGTGTGGAGGACCCAGTCCCTGACTATTTAAATGTGTTGCAAGCTCTTGCCAAGGTACAGCAAAAAATTTGGCCCCTGATCAGAGCATATCACGAGGGTGGGAGAATTCCGAGCACGGAACATGGCATAGTCCCAGGGGATATGGTCTGGGTCAAAAGACACAAAGTGAGGACTCTCGAACCCAGATGGAAGGGACCTTATGTTGTGCTATTTACCACCCCCACTGCTCTCAAGGTTGACGGTATCGCTCCCTATGTCCATCACACCCACATTCGGAAGGCCTTGCCTCTCAAAGACCCAGGACCCCGTGTGGAGGAGTGGGAGGTGCGGCAAAATCCTGCTAATTCCTTAAAACTACACCTGAGCCGAAAATGAAGGGATTCCTGCTGATGGGCTCATTGTTATGGACCCTCTCAAGAGCAGCGGCGTCAGCGGGAGCCCGGAGCGTCAACCCCCACCAACCGGTACGCCAGACATGGATCCTGCGAAGCGGTGACGCCTATGAGGAATGGAACCGCACCTCTCATACGCCCCGTTGTGGACATGGTGGCCAGATCTGTATGTTGACTTAGAACTTGTACTGGGGCAATTTTATCGCCTCCCCCAGAAAAACCACCAGGAACAGCATTATATGAGAAAAAGGGCTTTGATTGACTCGTCATCCACAGTCAACCGCCAAGCTTTGCGGGCAAACGGGTTCTTTACTTGTCCAGGTTTTTGGACAGGCTGGTGGAGGCGTAATTGTGGGGGTGCTGATAGACTCTATTGTGCTGAATGGAATTGTGTGGAGGTTAATGATGGGCAGTGGAAATGGAAGGTTTCCCCTGACCTGATTGATATGAGGTTTACTACCCCATATAACCAATGGACAGTATCTCCCCTGGCCAACCAGGTTAAAATCACCCTTACCTCAAAGGGAAAAAATGATAAAAAGTGGATAAATGGGCTGACATGGGGCCTGATGCCCTACCAGATGCCATGGAGGGGGGTCCTGTTCCAGATCTTCCTCCAGGTCGAGGCAGTGGTTAGGTCGCCGGTAGGGCCTAACCCGGTGTTAAATACCCCTCGTCTGAGGCCCCAATCTCCCCCGCCTGGGTCCCCTAGGTCCACCCTCAAGCCATCGGGCACCGTAGCGACATCAGC